ACATGAATATCTGAACTTCGAATCCTATAAACTTTTGGGTCGAGGCTCGACTCCTACCAATAATAAGTGCGGGCTCTGGACGTGACAGAAGCACGATATAGAGAGAGAAATAAATTTTATTATATAGATGTGACATAGAGCTCCACCAAAGTAACGTGTTGGGAATGTTTGCTCATTCGGGGTTCTTTACCGTTCACTCAGTATACTGGTTTCGAGTATCTCTCCTCTATCGAAATACGGCATGCGCGACTAGGCTTGAAGATGCGTCTTTCGGGTCAGTAGCCGAGCATCGAAACCACTGCACCACCGCAGCGGCCTTAATAAAAAATTTATCCTTAATAAACCGAGTTTCTTTGCACGTTTCCTCCTCGGCTCTTTTCTTCAGCTGTTGGACGTTTGGTGGTTTGCATGTTCATAGACACATGATATTTGGACCGAGTAGTACTACGTGCGTTAGTTCGGCGAATGAGAGTGCAAAAGGCAACACAGCTGGCTGAGCTCATTGATTGCCTCACTCGACAGTCAAAATGTGATCACGCCGCGGATCACCTAGGAGTAACGTGCACTATGTACAGCACGCCGAAACCCGCAAATGATGTGCGGTCGTCACATTAGCACTCGGCTTTTTTCATTGTCTTCACAGCGACTACCTTCACAGTGACACCTTGCACCGTCCGCATCGTTTCGAGATGCGCGCCATTTAAACAAGCGAAAACGCAGGCTGCCGGGTGATATGGGACAAGCGTGCGCAGTACGCGCTCCCAGACAAAGCCGTGCAGCCGCCAGAAGGCGCAGCAATGCGCCTCGGCACGCGCTCCCGTGGTCTCTAAAATTATGCACTCGACTGTACTCCTTTGATACAGCCGTCACGTCGGGTTAACGTCAATTGTGGTTGGTTTCCATGCTCTGAAGTCGATTTATGTAGCATTGTCCAGGGCCAGCATCATCGCAAGCGTCAGCGCTTCATATCAAATTCTGGTGTTGCTAATACGCATGGTCGAGTTGGCATCGTTGCGCAAGTGCAAACAGTGGGTTTTATGAACATCTGACCTTATACTCCTGTCTGTGCGTGCAACATTTTTACATATATTTAGCGTCATTTCATAAAGTCGCTCAATAAAAAAAATTCAACAAGGTCACCTGTCCTTGGCATGCTTCGTGTAACGTCGATTCCCAGGTAAGTGGGATCTGTATAATTTTTTTTCTTTGTTTCCTCTATGCTGTTTGTTTTCATATTTTGCCATTTTTTCTCTCTTTTTTTCTCCTTACTTCTATTTTTCGTCCTATTTCGTTTCCTTTAGTACTGTTTCAATTTATCGTTTGCTTCCTCTTCTTTCATTTCTATGTGTGGTTTCACATGAAGTGCTCCGCTTTTATTATCATCGTCAAGGCGCTTGAAGAACAAAAGGAAGAAGACTCTCATAGAATTTTCTACTAATACAACTAAAAATTTTCCCTACCAATTCAAAGCAAATGCCCCATCAATATTTACATAACCAATTACAAGATTACTTGACTCATTAGTCCATCAACAACATTATCGCGACTGATGCATCTGTACTAAATGAAAAGGCTGCAGTACACATCTTCTGTCCTTCTCTTGACTGGTCTTTCTTCAGTTCAATTGCCAGACTATACTTCTATATTCATGGCTGATTTATTTTCTATAGTTCTAGCACTTCGAAAACTTCCTGCAAGCGAATCAGAAGCAGTCATTATTCCTTATTCTCTCTCAGTGTGTACTGCACTCTCTGAAGCAAAACATTTACCATTAGTAAGCATTATTAGTAGTGTATTACCAACAAACTTGAGAAAACTCCACTTGGTGTGAGTACCTGCCCACTGTCGGATTTATCTAAATGAGATGGCAGACTCGTTAGCCAAAGCATCGTTAAGGGGACCACTCTTCGCTATTTTACCTGATTTCGCTTACGTAACAGCACTCAGATATTGAAATGCTTGTTTGCACAAGGAAATAGACAAATTATCATTGGCTAAAGTAGAAGGCTTCGTACACTTAAGATGCTGCTGGAATAAACAGTGGTGCGTATCTGGTGCGTAAATTACGATCACCAGATTACGCTGTAGAATCCCCCACCTGAATTATTACTTACACAAAGCTGGGCTCACAGCATCTCCATCATGTCTCTCTTGCAAATAAATAGAATCAATAGATCATTTCTTTCTATTCTGCCAACAATATTCTTATCAAAGGAAAAGATACCTTATCAACCCAATTGAGAATCTAGGTTTAGAAATAAACATGGCAGTAATTTTATCCTTTGAAGGGTGTCACAGAACGAGCGCTAAAAAAGGGCGCGACGCCAAATTCTTGCGATAACGGGCGGGAGAAACGCCGCGAAGTCAAAAGAAAAAAAAGGAAAGAAAAAGAAAACAAACGGCCAAGGCTCCCCGGGCGCGCGCTCTCCCCGCAGAAGCGTGGCTTCATCGACGAACCTCCTCACCCCACAACGGCGGCCGAGCAAGCACTCGATTTTTCCAGAACGAAAGGGGCGTGGTCATACCGAGTTGACTCATCGGCCGGGGAGGGCATTCCAACCGTCTCGCCCTCTTCCCAGCTTTCGCTGCGTATCGCGCCGACGAAAGGACGAGAACCGTCTGGAATGCCGCGCGCAAGGTATTTAACCGAGCAGCCGAGATGAGAGATGAGGAGGAGACGGAAGTTAACGCCAGAGCGCGTAGGGATTCCGCCGTGTAGTCGGCGAAGGTTTTGGTCCGTAGGGACGAAGCCGGAGATGAAGAGGATTTCCACCTGAGGGGTGAAGGCTCGGGCTACAGGCAAGAGCGTGTGTTTACCGCTATTGAGCGAGGACGCGTGGCAACAGCTGCGGGTGTGAAGCCGACGTGTTCCGGCGAAGAAGTTGAAGTTTGAAGAGTGGCCAATTGAAGACGGGAGGTTTCCTGGAAGAGAAACTTCGAGGGCTGCGGAACGACAACCACGCTGGACTTTGAGTGAGTGATTCTCGGAAGAGTATCACCTAGACTTTGGTTCCAAGAACTTTGGACTGAATAGGTTTTCTATCTCTTTAGCCTTTAAGTGTCTTGGTTGTTCAATGCATGCGACTGCATTGTAGTGCGTATTGTTGTCCGTGTCCGTTGTTTCAAGTGTGGCTGATTGTATTGTGTAGTACGTTGATTGATTGGTTGGATTGGCGACATATTGTATGCAACTATTGTGGAGTGTGCATTTTTGTGTATTGTTTTCGATCTGCCATTATTGAGAATATAATTTGTTTGTTTATCAACTCTCGGCTCTGACTTGTTCTTTGGGCCACAGCCGGCGTCCACTGGCGCGCCAAAAAGGACCACTTCTAAATTGTCCACGCTTTCGTGGTGCGGTTCGGGGGGCCGATTCTTCGGCTCTTGGAATTAGCCCGGCGATTGCCTCCCTAATTAACGGGACCGGTGTGACAAAGGGATTACAATAGGTTATATATCCACAGAAAGATTTTCTCTGCTGTGTGTGCGTACAGATCACCTTGTTAGTCAATTGATAATATTATTTCTCCTTCCGAGGCTATCTGATTGCCTGACCGCTAGCTCGCGTAGCATCTTCATACAACATTTGCGATTTGTTTTCTGTCTTAATGAAACTCCAATGGATGTTTTGAAATACAAAAACAACTAAGTAAAAGATTCTGCCGCCCGGTTCTTGGCCGATCTCCCTTTGTGGGTGGGTGCCACCAATGCAAGAGGAACATTATTATCATCATGATACGTTCAATATGCCAAAGATGACTCTGCTACATGGGGTTTTGCCAGCGCTAAAATCATCATCCATCCAGTCAAAAAAGAACGGAAGACGAATATCGTTTGGTGCGTGCACGCCCTACAGATAGATATCCCAGATATACATATGTGCCTGCATTACTCAAGCAATGCCTACATCACACACCTGCCTGCTACTTAAAGTGCTCCGCACTTGAAAATCTTTGAGAATGATACGCGTGAATTTGAAGTTGTTTTCAGGGTTGACGTTACGGCTTTAGAAAATTGGGACCTGGCGTTGAAGGAATAGCGATTGCATGATGCTCGCTGTGCCGACAGGCCGAAGCGACTCGACTCTCTAGTTTTCTAACAAGCCTTACACGACGCCGCAGCGTTATCAGTCACCAACCAATAGATTTTGGCCAAACGATGTCAGAGAACTTGGTGGCTGAGAAAAAAGATCTCGATATAAATAAACTGCCGCACTGCTCGCGTGAACCCGGAGAATGTTGTAACATAGGCTGACGACGCTGCCGATCAGCCAGACGTTCAGTGACGTAGACTGGACTTATCCAATCAAGAACGGCCACGTGTGCTATGGTACAATTTGAATATTCTCTATGAGAAACAAAATAGAGAAATCACCAGAAATTCAGCTGAGTTGCTCCAATCTGCAAGTATACGCAAATCTTGAGTCTTGTAATTTAGATATTTAGCACAGAGAGCCCAAATCGATCTTTGAATGAGGCAGTTCACTTGCTTTATTGGTTCGATGCGTTTTTTTGTTTGCTGTTGTTTTTGCGAAACCACCAAAATAATTTAGGCGTATCTTCGAACAGCGCAATGGTGACGAAACTATAAAAAATATAAAAAAATTTACCGTTGAAAACAATCTAGCTTTTTCGTGTGTATTTTTAAAGGGACTCTCTGTATACGCGTGGCGCTTACAAGATTGATGTGTTTCTTTGCACACCGGTAGAGCTATGTTATAAAGCAGAACATTTTTGTTTGTTTTTTTCTTCTTTACGAATAAATGCGTCCGTATTTCTCTGAAACTTTATCATGAAAACCTATTGTTTTATCTGCTCAATTCTAACTTGTACAATCAAATGGGGAAATTGATGGGTTGGGTTATATTCATTGCTACGGGCAGCTCTAATACAAACTGAATGAAGGCCAATGAATGACCTTCCGCGTTCCCTCTGAATGCTCTTTTATTCGTTCGCGCTGTTCCTAACAATCGATTTTTCGACAGCACCTAAAACATCCATGAGGCAATTTAGTAAACGTGTCCCAATGGTGTCAGTCTATAAAAACTGTAACACACGCAGCTTCTAAACATTGTGCTATACAGAACTGCAACTTAGCTGAGCATATACCGGATCATGTCTTTGAAAATCACGACATTCAGCCTTTTTGCTCTCGCACTCTTGTTCATCTGTGGGTAAGTAGTACCACGAAATTCTTCCGTGCAGTTACACACCAAAATATGCCTTGTCTTTTGATGAAGACCTGTGAAATGGGTACGAATGCACTTCCAGCTTGCTGCTCGGCAGAACACAGTACATAGTCCTTTGAGAGGGTACCCACAGTGTGGGAAACTGGCGGCGGGGGACTACAAGATCTATAACAAGTTCATCCTTCTTTTAGGTTTTGTTGCTTGAAACAATGCTACCTTCACTCAAGTGCAATTCCCATTCCTTTGGACATTCTATATGTTTGGTATACACGATGTGGATTGTGTGTGTACCAGACAACGCTGAATACACATTGCCATCCTCCAGGAATTATCGCATTTGTGTTTGTGACGTTAGTGCGAAAAGCTGGAGCCCTAGATTCGCTGCGTGGCCGTGTTGGTGAAATTCGTGGTGGAGTCCACTTGGTTTGGGTTTTTTTTCTTGAATGGCAGTGTAAGTTTCTGAAGCATCTGTAATACTTCAATAACCCTATTTCTGAACCACCCTTGTACTGTTGATACCAGAGAAACACAACGGCTTTGTTCGTAGCCCACAAGTGTATGCTAGATCTAAAGCAAGTTTTCTTTGGCAATTTTTTAAGTAACTGCTTTTGCCTCTCGTAAAAACTCCTATATTCATTATTCGAACTGAACGCAAGACGCATCTACTTATACAGTTCGAACTTGATGTAAGAAAAGTTCTCGATCTAATGAAGAAGGTTTCATTTCATGACTGATTGATTTATATGTGGGGTTTAACGTCCCAAAACCACCATATGATTATGGAAGACGCCGTAGTGTAGGTCTCCAGCAGTTTCTACCACCTAGGGTTCTTTAACCTGCACTCAAATCGGGTTTCCTTTCATGACACTTACACATGTTTAAATGTTTCATCAACCGGTATCAATGACCTTGGCCGCAGAAGAATATTTATGGACGTTTTTCAAAAAAAAACTGGCCCCGTATGTGCATGTAACACAGCAAATGTCGTCAAAAGACGACAGTCTCACGTCTGGAGAGAATGAACAAAACGTTTATTTCATGTTCTGTACAAGAAAATCAGTGAATGGTATTCCGCAGGCACTGCGTTAGAGTGCCACGAGCGTGAAGAGGAGGCTAACGAGCGCATCAAGTCACGTCACACGTGAGACATCACCGCTAACTGACAGTTATCCTGGAAAACGAATCGCGCGGCGTGCGCGCCCGTCTTTTAGGTGAAAAGGTGTAAAACTCAAGGCGACGGGTAGGTGCCACCACCGTGCCGTTTCAGCAAAGCGTTGGCAACACTTGCCTTTTCGTGCAAGCGTTGCATGGTTATCACAGCGTGTTAAACGCTACGGTCCTTAGAATTACTTGTGCATCCCTTTTCTAGTAAAAACTACACGTACATATCATTGACGTGTTGTTTTGGCGCCTCAAATATGCCCAATAATTGCTTTTTAATTGACAATCGCGCAAGTATGAACGCTGAACCTTGAGCAATACTGGTGGGCGCTGCGGATAGGGTCGGCTTTTGAGGTTTCATTTGGCCACTTTGGTGCCGTTTAGGGTACCGTTGAGGGCGGCCAGACAAACGTACAAATAGACAGACAGACAGACAGACAGACAGACAGACAGACAGACGAAAATTATTGCGTGGAAGGTCCCCAAGAAAAACTATCGTCTTTGAAAAAAGATAATTCTTGCGAAGCTTGACACAGACGAGTTTTTCTTGGAGAATGTGTTCTGACGCACGTTGAAACATCTCAATGCTTGAATTACGGCTATAGTTTAGTTGCGACGAAGCTAGACCCCACGTCCGACACATCGAAGATTTTGTTTCCACACCAAGTCAGGTCGTGATCCCCGCCGACCTTTTTAGGATGTTGGCTGAGGCCCATAAGCAACCTGCAGGTGAATTCAAAGCGAGTCTACGCTATGAGAACTGTGTACACACACTGCTGGTGTAGCGCACTTAAGCGGAATCCACGAGCTTATATTTTTTCTTCTTGCAAAATAAATGCAGTATTACCTCCAGAACACGAATCTTTGTTACCTTTCGGTCTTCCAGCATTACCCAAAGATAGTGCGAGCCGCCATCCCGGACTTTTCTCACGGGCTGGTGTCGGTCGGCTTACTTCACACACTTATGACATTTAAGTGTTCCAACGCTGCATTTTAGATCCTGAAGAAGCTTGAAATCCGCTCGTGCCAAATGAGATCACGGACATAAGAGTGAACGCCAGAAAGAATATACTGGCTGTTGACGTTTTGCACGCAAGTGCGTTGGGTGTTCTGCGCAGTGTAACTGACTTGGACGGCAACCAGGTGTGCTCTCATGTTTCCTTGGAATGTGATGTAGTAACCGGCGTGATCTACGACATAGATGTGGCTATTTCCAATAATGACTTACAATTTCTCATCAAGTCAACAACTGATACTCCAATTGTTGATGTCACCCGGCTAGGCAAGTCTCGCTGTGTGAAGATTGCTTTAAGAGCACATCACTCCCCTCTCATGTGAAGGTGGGGTACTTCAGACATGCGTGCAGCCTTTCATTCCAAAGCCTCTCCAGTGCCGTAAATGCATGAAACTTGGACATGTGAGCAGCGTCTGCGAGAGTTCGGTGGTATGCCACTGCTGCGCCGAGCCCCATGAAGCGGATAAGTGCGTCGCAACTGTCAAGAAATGCTCTAATTGCAATGGATCCCATGAAGCCACATCGAAGGACTGCCCGCGGATTCAGAAGGAAATTGCCATCTTGAAGGAGATGGTGCGCGATCACTCATCTCATCGAGAAGCCGCAGCTAAAATCAGAAGGCGTCGTTCACGTCGACGTCGGTCTTCAAGGACACCCGATACCTCCTCGACACGTTTGCCAGATCCCTCATCTGTACCACCTCCTTTGCCTCTCAGACCTCATGCCGTGCGAAAGGCTGTAAAGGACAAAGCCTGTGAGCATACCCTAACTGTGACAGAGTGGCCTGCACTTCAATGGGAAGCAGCATCAAGCGAACCAAAGGAGTTTCATGACGGCCAGTCCGCGATCCCGGTTTGAGATCTTTCCAACCAAGACAGGCAAGTGACTGCAATCGTGCAATCATTAATTGCCACAATTCGCACGCTACTGAGCAGCATACAATCTCCGTCTCCCAAGAGTGCACTGAAAATACTGGATGCACTGAATCCAGTTCTTGCTAACGTCGTATAAGCACAATGGCTCAACAAAATTTCATCTTCCGCACTGAAGTTAAAAGTGCGTCGATTTTTCAGTGGAATGCCAGAAGCATGAAATCCCGTATCTCGGACTTTCGCCAATTTGTTCGGGCCAATCAATTCCCTATACTTGTCATATGTGAACCAAACGTATCAACGCCTTATAGATTGTCCGGTTATGAAGCTTTTTGTTCAGCCGCTTGCGAAGAACAAAGCAAAGTAATTGTTTACATTCGCACAGACTTGACTTACCTTTCGCACCCAATAAGTTCAAATGACGACAATCAATATGTGTGTCTTCGGGTAAAGAAGAATGCAGTTTCGTTCACGCTTATTGGTGGATCTATATCTCCGTCATCGCAATTTGACTGCGACAGATTTTTATAAAAGACATCCTAATGAGGACCGATGGGCCTTGGATTATCACCGGTGACTTCGACGCCCATCACATGCTTTGGGAGAGCACTAGGATGAATTCCAGGAGCCGGAACGTTGTTACATTCGCTTCCGATTACGACCTTTCCATCATGAGCGATGGTACCCCAACATATCTGTGGGGTCTCACGTATGGCAGTTGCCTTGACCTGACGTTGGTGTCACGGTGCTTCTCACACAAAGTTAAATGGTTTTGCGATATTGAGACTCACGGGAGTGATCACATACCCACCTACGTGACGATTGATGGTATCATAAAAATTTTCTCTTCCGGTGTTGTAATTGGCACCGACTGGTCGATGTTTACTTCGCGTGTTGAGGACGCTTGCCAAGAAGGTCTCGCCTGCAGCCTGGAAAATACCATAGCGGAAGCTATGCAAGCGTCCAAATGTAAATTACCATTTTCGTCTAAAATAACACAGTTTGACATCGAACTGGAAACATTACGAGCTATACGAAGGCGTGCTGAACGACGATGCAGACGCACAAGATCAATTTACGATCTGAGGGAAGCAAGACGGCTCCGGAAAAAGATTCAACGACGCATTTACAAGCTGGAGAGCGAACGCTGGAAAGCATTCTGCGAAGCTCTAGAACCTCATAAACCGCTGTCATATATCTGGAGAGCAGTTCGTGGTCTTCGCTCCTCTCCTCAACAACGGCACCCTTTTAAAGCTTTGGCACTCCATCATAGAAAAACAGAACTCGAGGTGGCTGAAAAATTTTGCACGAGAGTTGACGGGAATATTATGAACGGGAGCATCGACGCCGTGATCGTTCCTGAGATGCGATTACCAGAAATGGACATTCCATTCACCATGGAAGAACTGGAAAGTGCGTTAGTCGCTTCAAAGCGCATGTCATCGCCAGGTCCTGATGGTATTACTTATAGTGCGTTGAGACACCTTGGACAAGAAGCCAGAAAAGAACTTTTAACATGCTTCAACAACTCTTGGCTCAGCGGCAGTGTTCCCCGAGAATAGAAAATAAGTCGATTAATACCACTTTTGAAATCCGGAAAATCACCATTGGACTTGACAGCGTATCGCCCTATTGCCCTCGCAAGCTGCCTCGGAAAAGTGATAGAAAGAATGGTTCTATTTCGTCTCGAGTGGTACTTGGAACGATACACCAAATACCCTTCTTGCATAACAGGCTTTTGTCGGAGCCGCTCCTCCATCGACTGTGTCCTTCACTAATCGACATTTGTTCCGCAAGAAAAAAGTCGCAAGCGCATATCAGTGGCACTCTGTCTTGACGTGAAGGGTGCATATGATAATGTAGCTCACGATGCCATCCTCACTTCTCTCGCAGCAATGGGCGTTAGTGTACGAATGTTTCAATGGATAAAAGATTATATAACTGGCAGGGGTTTCTTTGTGCAAACATATGAGGGTAAAACTGCTGAACATTACACCTACTGCGGAATACCTCAGGGAGGTGTTTTAAGCCCCACATTGTTTAATGTTGCCCTCATTGGTCTGGTGAAGGTTCTGCCAAAGTCGGTGTGCCTATCCATATACGCCGATGATATTTGCCTCTGGAGTGCTGCAGTTACTCGCCCTCAGGTGCGTGCACGAATACAGCGGGCAGCAACCCTCACAACAGCCTACCTTCAGAAACAAGGCCTAACTATATCAACTGTGAAGTGCGCGTTGATGGCGTATACACGCAAACCAATGACACCATACCCTGTTTACATCATTAGGCAGAGTGTCAAATATGCACGGACGCATCGTTTCCTGGGTATAATAATCGACAGAAGTCTTTCGTGGAGCCCGCATTGTGCGTACTTGAAGAAGAGACTGCTATCTATTGTGCATATAATGAAATTCATGTGCGGGAAAGCATGAGGAACTTCTGTGGCCTCCATGCTACAGCTGTACCGGGCCCTATTTCTAGGTCCATTGCGCTACAGCTTGCCGGTACTGACTAACACTTGCAAATCCAATACTCATTCATTGGAGAGTTTGCAGGTCTGCCTAGGACTGCCCCGATGCGCTTCTACTTATGCCACAATCATGCTTGCCAAAGACCATCCGGTCAGGACATATAGAGTTGTGGATTGCCTCAGAGCGCACATTCGACATGCTAGCCGTGTCCCCGACCACCACTTGGCCCTTCTACCCTCCAGAAGACCACGTGCTACGTTTTCAGACGTCATAGCCCAGCACCTAAACAGCATTCCATCAGGATATACGCCAGCTACGAGAATGGCATGTCCTTTGTGGTGCCTCGACCAGCCGCAAGTACATCTAGAAATTCCCGGAATCAAAAAGAAAAGCAACGACTCCAGAGTAGCATTGAAGCAAGCAACTCAGCTATTATTACATGAGTTGTACTTAGACCGAACGCAGATATACACTGATGGGTCCGTCTCTTCCAGCAGCTCATCAGGTGCCACTGTAATTCCGGCTGCAGCAATGACAATCAAGTTTAAGTTGTCGCATATGACTACATCTACGGCATCAGAGCTTGCTGCTATAAGGACTGCTTTACAGTATCTCGTTCAAGAACGTCCAGGAAAATGGGTCATATTCTGTGATTCGAAGGCAGCGCTTCAGAGTTTGCAGTCTGCCATGCGTAGGAGGAGTCATGAACAATTGGTACAAGAAATAAGACATTGCCATCATGAAGCTCTAGCACGAGGGCATGATAATATATATCAATAGCTGCCTGGACATATCCATATTACCGGGAATCAATTAGCCGATGATGCAGCCCGCTCAGCCCTTGAAGGAACCCGTGTAGTCCCGATTCCTCTATCAAGGAATGGTGCAGCAAGACAACTTTACCTGCTGGCTCGAGGTCTTACACGCACGTTCTGGTCGTCTACCAGCTTCCAAAGGTGTCACTTTTATGAACTGGATCCTTCGCTCAAACTAAAGCTACCATCACAACTTTCGCGCTCCGATGCGACACTTTTATGCCGCCTTTAGTTGGGTGTTGCATTTACAAAGGTGTACCCCTTTCTGGCATCGCTTGCTATGACACACAGCGATGCCAGCTCCGGATGGTTTTGAATCAACTTGACCCCGGACCATTTTGTGTGCAGAAGATACTAGGACCTTGAGCATCTGCCTCAGTTGCGCAGAAAGCGACTAAAGCTCTGCTTAATTACTTAAAGTCAGCAAACCTGAGCGACCGCCTGTAGACTGTGTGTGCTCCCCTAGTGTGCTCGTGATTGTGTGTACCTTCTCATCTCTCTGCAACCTCTTTTCTCCCCTTCATCCCTTCCCAGTGCAGGGTAGCAAACCGGATGTGCGTCTGGATAACCTCCCTGCCTTTCCTTGCATCTTTATCTATCTCTCTCTCTTTATTCTTGACTTTACTAACTTCCCCATTTCACAAATAAAGTTGAGCGTTGCCCTCAATTCATATACCAAGTTTCTGCTGTATTCGAATTCTCAGGAACATTGCCGCCGATATACGTTTGAAGTTAATGCAGTAGTGCTAATCCCGAAACAAGTATGGAGCTGAGCAGACTTCTTTGTTTCTCTTCGGCTACTTCTTTGTTTTCTCCTCTACCTTTTTGTTCTCATTTGCGATTCTTTCTGCGTTTTTTCCCTTTATTTTATTTAATTCTATATTTCTCTCAAATTTGATTCCCTTTCTTCTTTGTATTTCAAGCATGCTGCCTCTCTCCACTTTACACGCTGTTTGTGTTTTTGTGTTTCCGTGAGCATAGTAGTAATGTCCGCCCTTAATATTATCATTAAGACGCTTGAAAAACACGAGGAATAATTCTCTTTCGAAAGAGCGCATGCTAAGCATGCTATGCTCGGGTATGCTATACGTCGCTCTGTCTGCAATAGCATTATCATTAATGGGCATCAATAGCAAGTTGAAAAAGATGCCTGAGTATCATCATGAACGCGGCTGAGGAACAGGAGGAAGAAGACTTCTTACTGACGCGAGAGCGTGCTACAAAAGGCTTTGCTATGGGTGGTTTTGCATGGGTTCCACCAAGTGACGACGGCAGCGCATACGATCACTGTATACGACTGCATGCACACACGCCGGCACCCTATAGAGAGTGTCGTATTTAAGTGTTGTGGCGGCTTTGCACTATAGCAACGCCAAGCATCAAGCAATAGCACAGCTGGGAGGCCTTTCTTGTTTCTCTATATGCTTTGTCCTTTCTCTTTCTTTGTTTGTTTTTATTTCTATCTATTTTTGTGTTTTTTCCTGTCTCTCTTGGTATGTAATTTTTTATGTAGTTTTAGTGTCTGTCCTTTTTTGATCTCTCATTGTCATTTGATCTTTTTTCTCTCTCGCTCCTTTTTCCTGCTTTTTTCTCTTACTCCCTTTGTTCCTCTCTTTATTCCTCTTTTGTTTCCTCAGTTTCTTCTTTCTTTTTGTTTGTTTCATCTATGCCTGTTCATGTTTTTAGTTGCACATCTTGTCGCCCTTTAGTTATCTCCGTTTTTCTCTTTATCTTCCTTTCTGTCACTATCTATCTGTTTCTGTCTTTCATTTTTTTTTCATTTCTTGCTATATTTATCACGTGTTTGAGTGTTCTTCTTCACCATGCGCAGCTTAGGTTAACATCGCACCTGCCGCCCTTGAAAGTGGAGTTTGTTCACTCGCTCCGGTGCTTATCCACACGTGGAATTTAGAGCAACGCTGCAACACGCCATAAACTACGGCAACACACAATAGCTTTGCTGTTGATATACTCAGCTACAACCGCCCTTATGTGAGAACCACCAATCACGGCGTAAATGTAAAATGAAGCTAACAGGAGAATCCCACGCACGCGATAACTATATCAGATTTTTTACTATGGTGAATGCACTTGCCAATAAACTATTGTCGAGCTTCACAGCTTGCATAGCTTTCTAGAGCAGAATACCACCCATGAATTTGTTAAATTTTTGACACGCCATTATCTCACAGCATTATCACTTATTTTCTGTCACTGAAAGAACTAAACAGAAGTTAAGAAGACCTAGTTCAATTACCACACCTTTTTTTTCCGTAAAAATCTAAACACATCATCACAATGAAAATTATTTGAAGCGTCGTAACCTGATGAACAAAAGAGAGGACAATAATTTTATTCGTATAGCCAGACGACTACTAGGCTATACAGCTTCGCACAGAAGGCGCCCCAAAAGACCTTGGACTCCGGTTGGCATATGCACCTGCCGAACGGCAAAGAGCTAGCCTTCTGGAACCAAGCTGAAAAGCGGTTCCCGACTGCGTTTCATCTAAATTTTTTCGGCCCTCTAGAGCTACCTACGGTCACGCAGAAATGATGCAATATCAGTCCAATCTTTCCTGAAAAATTTCATGTTTGGCCGAATATTGGTCTGAATTGGAGTAATTATAAGTCATGAAATGCGAGTACGCATTGGTTCAAAGGAGTTGCCTTGCCACCTCCTGCTGCGTCTCTCGGACCTCCTCTCCGTACTACTCTCAGCCTGAAACACGTCAGCCCTGTAAACCTGCTTGTCAGTGCTTGAGCAACAACGTCGGACGCCTCGTTGCCAGAAAGGGGTGAAATTTTCCAAACGTCCAGCTTAACTCCACAAACCACTGACTCCAAACGCGATATTAAAATGGTTGTGCTTTCTGCAAAATCGGCACCTTTGCGTAATTTAATTTTGTGGTTTTAAAATGACACAAATATTATAGCAGCCACAGCAGGAGCCACTTGAAAGCATTGGCCGATTCCTGATTTAAGTAAGCTCTGTTTTCTTAAAATAAACTTCATGTAAACGGAGTGGCTCTTCTTGCTTTCTTCAAAACTTTATTTTCCGCAAAATATACTTCGCATTTTTTTCGACATCGTTGTGAATAAGAACGGTCGCAGCAGCGGTGAATTTTATTTATGTTCCAAAATGAATCAGGGTTTACCTTGAGCAGCATTTTTGAAATTGTTTTATTTGTTACAGATATCACGTCACTTCTGCCCATCCTCATCAATGGAGCTACCCGGTAGTCTGCGACAAAAGAGTAAGACATAACAGAGCAGCTTCATTACGTTGCATCACTATGTTTCAGTGCGCTTTTGTGAATGTGACTCGAATATATCAATTTGAGCACCTGAGGCCTGAATATCAAACAATCAATTATTTTGCAACATTCCCGATAATTAATTGTCACTCTCTTAACAGGTAGTCCTCCAAGCATTGATTATTCATAGAGAAGAAAGCCACATTACAGAAATTATTCATGAAACATTGCCATCAGCGCTCTAGTCATCCGCATTTGAGCTTACAGTCCTAAAGTATAGGAACAAGAAAATGTAAAAAAAAATGCCCAGGCGGCAAGTGCCTTTTTTTTTGTTCTTGTAGTTTTGGGCTGTAAACTTGATCACTTTTTCAAAATTAATTGACTTTTCTCCACAACGGAACGAACCTGCAAGCCTCGTTGCTAATATTCCTGCCCATCTTTACGCGTGGTATGACATTTTAAAGAAGCTGGAACTATTAAAGAGCAACTTCTCAATGTGCTGATGGCAGTCGTGGGAACGCCTGCACCTGAGGGAAGGCTACCGTGGAAACGCAAACGACAATCTTGTTGCGCCAATAACATGATAATACTGGTATAGATATAGACACTGACAAGGCTGCACATTTAGGACACAGGCAACAATAACGTGAGCCCGAAAACGATACAGAAATGACAGCCCCATGCACGGGCAACTTGCTAAATCAGAGGAGTTCTCAAAGTGCCAGCACAATGTTTCTTTATTCGGCTCTTTATTTGTTTATTTGTTCTTTATTTCTTTGACACATATCGATGCAGACTATTTTTACTACAATCTGTATGTGTCATGGACCCATTCAAGTTTGACCAGTGATATGGGCAATTAACTCTTTTTATCCCAGCCGCGGAGCGCAAAGGCAGACGGCTTCCGTTCAGCTCGTTAAGCCTCAGCACATAGTCAGACGACTTTGCGTTGCCGAGAGATCTCAACATATTTTTTTAGTGTCTTATACCCACTTGCTACCTCAGCAACATCTAAAACTACATCGCAAGCTACTAGAATTGCAAACAACTGTCGAGGCGGAACAGAACGATATCTGAGCGTCCACCTGTTAGAAATACTTACACAGTCACAAGCAGTGCATCTAACCAAAGGCACAAACGCAACAATACTGTCTTCCTGCCTCCAATCTACACCACCTCTCGCTGTCCCCCTTCCACCTCTATTGTCCTGGATCCACGGCTTGGATGCACATACCCAAACTACACACGACTGTGACAGTATGCTTCAAAAGAGAATAAAACGTGGACAGAAGCAGCCCCAACCTAGCCATTGGAGTTGGAGTTTCTCTTTTAAACTTCGGCGAACAGCGCGACACTCACACAGCTATTTCCACTTCTGATGCGTTTACTTGTGGATGCGTCTAATGTAGGATTTTGTACAGTAACAAATGGATGGTTTAAATATTGCACGCTAGATTATGCCAGTGAATTAGAAGTTCCTTGCACACTTAGCTCTGGTTCTATGCCCCCTTTAATGCACAGAAGAGTGTTTTTACGTTTGTGTTCAAACGATATATGGTTACTGAGAGTGCTGTCTGTATACGGGCGTCCATTGATACCGTGGCATTTTTTTATTACAGTGATTGTTGCAGAGTAGAAATTTTTGTTGTTGACTATAAGGTCAAAGGTGCAGGAAATCATTCCCTATCACAACACTCCAGAACTGCTCAACGACGATCTCCAAGCTTCATAACACAAAATAAGCTTTGAAGTACTCTAAGACAGAGATGATGGATGCAGCTAAAGTTTCCGCACGAGTGAAGTTTGATTACAACATTAAGTCACCTCTCTTTGCATTTCTATAGCAGCGTGTTTTACTGTTTAATGTGCTCTCAAAATACAAAAACAGCAGTGGCATTTCTTGTCACTTATATATTTTTCTATTTTATTAGCCTTGCGGTAGTGCAGATGACTGTCCACATGGCTGCCGATGTGTATTCTACAGAGCCCCGGGGCCAGAGGCGAAGAAAGGGCCCGCACAAATGGTGTGCTCAGCCTAAAACAAATAAGAAGGCCTGCCATTTTCTGCAATTTCAAAATGAAGAAAATAAAGTTTCATGTGTATACGAGCCTCAATTGTTAATATTTTTTTCTGCGCGTTAAATGTGAGAAATATGTATCTGTATTTATCCGAGGCCACAATGGGCATATTGGAGTATATACAAAGCAATTGTGTAAACTATTAAGACTACGTTGCTTCTAAGTGTCCAGATAGTGCACCAGTCACTACATGTTTTCTTTGTCATAAACTCTTCTTTTTCACTCATTCTTTTACACCCCTTTTTCCCTTGCCAAGCACAAGGTAGCAAACCGAAATCGTCTTCAGGTTAACCTTTCTGTCTTCACCTTTTTTCCATCTCTCTAAAGGCTGAGGGAACTCTTCTGTTTCTCCGCCTCTTATGCAGGGCTGCCGTTGGATTGAATCAAAAAAGTGCCAGAACTCAAGCCAAACATATCCGAAGTAGCCGCACCATTCAGTAATATTGCCAATATGTAGCGGAGGAAGGCAGGATAACAAGAGAAAAAGAACGGCAGGGAGGTTAACCAGTATATAAGCAGCCGTTTTGCTACCCTGCACATGGGAGGGGGGTGTGGGAGATGAAAGATAGAGAGGAGAGAGGGAAGAAAGATAAGCACAGCACATTAGGCAGCACATGCGCGCACACTCAATCATAGTTCAGTCTTGTCTTTAGTAGTGTGTGACATTGCTGTTACAGCTGCTTGTTCAAGCCCGTGTCGCGTAGGAATTTCAACAGTGCCTTTGTCGCCTTCTGTTGCAATGTCTTCTCTTGGGCACTTGAAAGAATAGTATCCACAGACATTTAGCTGTTGTCGATGCGCGCAAGAACGGACGCCGGTGACTATCCCTGGATGTCATACAATGGACAGTCACACACGATTTAGTGTAGTGTCTCTTCGCAACGACAGGCATCGCAGAGAGTGTTGTCGGTCATTCCTATAATAAATGAATGAGATTTCGTAAATGCCATATCTAGTCATAAGCGATGAGGAACAGTGGCTTCTCTTCGGTCGAGCCCAGTGGGCATGCGGAGAGCCGTCAAAGAGGACAGGTGTTGTTCACGATTCGTCTCGTTGCTTGGTGGGCACCATAGTGAAAGCGTGATTTTCCGCGCAAGCCGTTGAAGATTACTGGCAGCATCGGACCGCGAAAATGGTATGGCTGCTTCTCGTTTACCTTCAAGAGCTCCCGGTGCCGCAGTATCGGCATGTTCGTTCCTTATGACATCGCGGCTACTTGGCAGCCACTAAAAAGTTACATAGTGCTCTTTCTCATGTGAAGTGCGAAGAAGGCATCGAATTTCGAAAACAAGCTGTCCGTACGTCCCGCGACGCAGTGCTGAGAGCACAAATTGTAGGGCAGCCTTTGAGTCGCTGAATAGTTCCTGATTGACCACGCAAAGTGCAGCGCGCAAAGCAGCTAGATCCACAGCTGTAGACACTGTGGAGTGGTCAGTACTAAAGCTGATGATAAAACCTCTTGCTGGGACAACTACGGCACCGGAAGAATACTGGTGGTTCGTGGAGCCATCGGTATATATATATATATATATATATATATATATTATATATATATATATATATATATATATATATATATATATATATATATATATATATATGACGAATGGGTGACGTGGCCTGGCTCGTACGCCATGTTTATTCTATTCTGACTTCTTCATTCTCAGTTTCTACCAACCATCGCTACCTTCTTACGTTAGAGGTTCGATGACGAGTCGGCAGGATGAAGACCTACTGGCCCCTTCAGCAGTCGCTCATCATCGACGCAGTTCTCCGCAAGACAGCCTGAGCAAACATGGACTACCGTACAAGCGCCTAGCAATACGCATCGACCAGCATCATGTCAGAACCATCTGCTGACCTCGACATCTCCAAGTACAGTGGATCAGCGGACGACGGACCCGTAGAAGACTCGTTCAACCCGTTTGAGCTCCACACACCCGCTGCGTCCTGGTTGGAACGGGAGATAGTTACGAACTTCAGTGACTACGTCACCAGTGAGGCATTTAAATTTTACCTTACCCACATATTCGAGAACGACGACTCTTGTCAAAAGATAAAAGAAGAAATGATCATCTAGTTTCAAGACTATAAATAAAGATTCGATTAGAACACGCACTCTTAGTGCATTCGAACTCTGTCATCGCAGTCATAAGCAGCCTTCATGCATTAGAGCACAGAGCATGAATTTACAATTTTCATCAGGTGAAGTTAGTCACATGCTCACGGAAAGACCCCACACGGTTGTCGTCCAAACTTTCCACCTGATTCCTCATCTGCGCAAATATCACCAATGCTTAACTCCTAGCTGAATAAAAGAATCTAATTTACCATTGATGACCCAGATGCATTTATTACTTTGTGCCACGTGCGTACTTTGCAAACTGACCTGGCATCAGCTGTCATCAACATTACTGATAAACAAGATGAATCTCCTCATAATATTGTCACACTTACGCATTACGAGTCCGCATGAACCCAAACCAGATGTAGTTGTTAAGGACGTTCGTCACTATGTTTGCTTATAGCGGACGAGAAAGGATTAACATGAACAATTTATTTGATGGCACGGGTGGAACGGCTGACGGCGCACGGATACGCTACCGTGTGCAGCGCCGTTGAGTCGGACGTCGCTGCCAACCCAGCAGTCTGGGTCGCAACTCCGGAAGTCCAGGATCAGGCCACGGCTCACGAGGACCACACCCGGTAGGCCTCGCCCACGAACCTGCTCCCGGCCACTGCACCCCGGCAGGAGCCGTTCAGCAGGCCCCGTCCTTGGACCTTGTACAGGCTGACGGACTCGACCCCGAACAGACACACCGGAGCTCGACCTGGCCGACACGTACGGGTCCCACGTCCGGCTCAGGAACGCTGCCAGGAACTCGTCCTCTCGAGCGGCGCACCGCTTCTTCTGCCTTCCTGGCCTCCACCCTCTAGCGCTTTTTCGCACGTTTCTCAGTACGGCTCGGCACCGCTGGCGATCCTCGATTCAGCCAGCAACTCCCCTGGCACCTGGATCCTCGGCCACCCTGGACCTCGCCCGGCTCCGTGGTCCTCCGTGCACACGCCCGCGTCTCGCCTGGCAGAACGTCTCGCTCGTCCCTTGCCGATGTGCGACGCTCTGGTGACACCGGCGCTTGATGGCATGGGTGCGACTACTGAGCAGTCAACCCGCATGGGAGACGCGATGCTCTATGCGGGGAATGGCCAGCCCGTCCAGCAAAGAGCGTGCGCCGAGACGCGATGCTCGACGCAACCGTGACCATTAGCCAGGCCACGTTCATCGCTGTGTCGAACGGCTGACCGTGGAGACGCCTCGCCGAGATTCGCGATGCCCTCGGCAAGGAAGAAAACAGCAGGCCAGGCCGCGCCCCGAGATGCAGTACTCGTGCCGGCAATGCCGCCCCAGCTGGTGGTTGGACGGCAGCAGCGTGGACGGCCGCGTTCCCTGGCCGGAACCTGGATCGCCTGCGTTCGACGCTTCGGCCCACTGTCTCCCGTCTGCCGCTGCTCCGGCTCGTCCCCAGCCACACAGCCTACTGCCACGTAATGCTCGCACGTGGCCCAATCGTGGCACGCCACCTCTATGGGCCTCCACTGGTCATCAGCTGATTGGCGCACAGTTGCCTCGTAATCACACGTGCCTTCTTCTTCTCTTCTTCTTCATTTCTTGTTGTCGCCTTCGTGCCACCTGCCTTCCGCTCGTCTTCTTCAGTTTTGGTTTGATGTTCCTCGGCGTCTTTAAGTCCTTTCCTTACAATATCCCCCTGCTCAAGAAAGTTGTTTCAGTCAAACAACTTTTCTCACAATACGAATGTTCTCACAACGAATGTTCACAGAAATCTCCTTTGTTCAAAGTATTCCGCTCAGCAGTTCCTCAAAGACAGAAGAATTTGCGATCAGCATCTTGTGAAGAAAAGTCTTCTGCAGAAGCGTGTAGCGTTCATCAATCACAAGATCAAAGCGACGTGAATCCAGTATACAACCTTACTGCCAACAGTGAAAAATAAAGCGCAGGTGCGACTTCTGACTACACAAGCACTTTTCAGGCAACCACCAACAATGAGCGGTTTATAAATACAGAAAATTCAAGTGCACGAAACCACCCACATTGTCTTGCGCCGGAAACAGCTGCATTCGTTAGCGTCGTAGAAGCCTGCGGTGGACTTTTTAAGAATTCTGGCACACCACGATCAATGTCACACCACAAGAAAGTCGACAGCATGAAGACCTGCCAGCCCCTTCATCAGTCGCTCATCATCGACGCAGTTTCCCACAAGACACCCTGACTATACACCGACTACAGAATCATCTTCTAGCAGCACACGGTGACCATCACCATGACAGAACCATCTGCTGACCTTGACACTTCTCAGTACATCGGATCACCTGATGGCGGACCCGTACAGGACTGGTTCAACCTATTCGAGCTCCACGCCACCGCTGCATCCTGGTCGAAACGAGAGATGGTAACCAACTTGATGGTCATATCGCCGGAGAGGCATTTAAGTTTTACCTCACCCACATCTTTGAAAATGACGAGTCATGGCAAAAGATCAAAGAAGAAATCATCACTCGTTTTAACGACTATGACCAAGACCTACTTATTTTTAACCATCTGGAGAAAACCGCACTCTATCATCCATTCCCTAAGCAGTCTAAAAGAATCCGAAAGCCCAGTGCGAATCGACAACTGCCACAAAACGAAGTGGCACGTGAGTTCACTGACAGTCGACCGCGCGTATTTTGAGAACAATCCAATGATCAAGCGCGCCTCCCTTCTGCACGAAAGTGGGCATTTCCAAAGTCTTCGTTCCAGCACAAAACACGATACGTTGCTCATTCACCTGATGCCCTTCATTCTTCATCTCGCATACGTGAACCACCACCTGGTTTTCTATCATGCTGCTCCTCAGGTGCTACTAACGGTCGCTAATCGTGTCACAAGGAAACCTTGCTCACGGTAGACCAGCTGCGCAACGGAGAAAATACCAAACAACACCATGACGACTCGAAGAGTGAGA